TGTGATTTAAGTTAAAATCTTTAATATTTTTAATGTTGGGTATAAGAATGTTTCTAAATTTTAATGTATTAATTCGTATATATATATATATATATATACAGAAAAATTTAGTAGATTCCGCTACTGTATATATAGTAGATTATATAGATATTTTCTAAATTATATCATTATTGAAAATATTGTTGAGCAAGAAGCAATGAATTATCGAAGATATACATGACAAATTTGTTTCAATATAAAATATTTTGTTATTTTGTACATACACTTATTTAAAAATAATAAAGTATAATTTTTTTAAGTCTAACTACATTGTATTCACGATTTCATTAAAATAAAGGTAATTTCTATAACTCTCAAACTTTTCTCCACTTCGTGTTATTGACAATGTTTTGTATATAGTCAATATCATCAGCATTTTATTCATAAATAATGTAGTTTCTAGAAAGCTTACTCAAATCTTCAGAGCTTTTCTGACTTCACAACATGATGGAAGAGCAGGATATTTACCCTTCACAGTATTTATTTCTTGCTTGTCGTCATCGCTTGTTTCTTGTGCTTGGTTTTCGTTACCTCACCTCACGGTGAGGTAACGAAATAAGGCCAAGACTCCACTAGCGTAAAAACGGGCGTAAAAACCTTCGCCATAAAAACTTTCAATCGTGTGACCTATTTGCGTTTGCGTCTGAATTGCGGTGGCTAGCGAAGTTTTTACGGCGACGGTACTGTCGAAGTTATAAAGACAATGATTATATTCTACAAGTTTTTTTCTGTACTATAATTACAAATGTAGTAAAAATAATATCTTTACTTTCATATATTAACTGTTATTATCGTATTATTAATTAAGATAATATACAGCACTTATTAAGCTTAACTTTTTTCATTATATACTCCTCTAAATTGAAGGATTTTCCTTTGGCCGTCCTTATTATCGCGTGTTTTAGGCATCCTTATTTATAATCGGGATACTTCTTGTCGTAGATACACGAATACTTTCAGATGTTTTCGATAAATCTTTCCAGATCTATTCTAGAGTAGCCACGAGGGAACGTACACAAAAGCTCGTTTTCTGCTATTTTCGCATCTCGTTACAATGACCTAGATTTAACTGACTTCTGATTGGTGGATGGTGCCGTTTTACGGCCGTATTCGTGTCCAAAGTTGAACACTGCTCAACTCGCTTTTACGCTGGTTTTACGACCTGCTCAAGCGTAATATATCAGGGCCAGTGATTAAAAGCTTTTACGAGGGATTTTTACGCCGTTTTTACGCTAGTGGAGTCTTGGCCTAAGTGTTCACAGACAGCTTGATCATTGTCAAAGTTGACAAAAATCTTCGAATAACATTTTCTCCTTGCTCGTTGTTATAATGGGACTTTTTTTTATTTGTGGTTTTTAGGCCCCTTACCGCTCAGAGAGCACAAAGAGGCCAAGTTATAATGGGACTGGCCACTAATTACAACAACGAGCAAGGAAAAATTCCTCATTCCATTCTTTCCGATACAGTCGATGGATTATGACGGAAATTCCAATTTATTCGAAGTATCAACAAATCGTTGATTGAAATCTGCTTTTGCAAAGTAATTTACAATGGTGGTTTGCAGAATTTCATTATTAATCATTTGCATTGCATCTAGCAGATTCATTCCAAACTCAAGTCATCCATCTATAAAAACATACATCTTTCGTACGATAAGTATCCGTATCGTAAGTTAAAGTTTTTAAATAATTACTTGATCTACAGGTTGTTGCAACATAGAAGTCGTACTTGGTAAAAAACATTGAACTGTTATAACTTTTACAATGAAAATTACCAAATGACCACGGCAATTGTCGATTAAAAAAAATAATGTTTTGTCAACTATGCAAGTATCTTACTTTTCCAGTTAGCTAGAAAAAGCATTGACGTCATGCATTGTTTTTTATTTGCTGCATGTCGAAGCTTTAAACATTATCTAATTACTAACGAAAGCAGTTTTTCATTACCTGTCATGTTTCCTCCCAAAAGAACAATTACACATTCTTTGCTTTTTTTTACCTTCATGACATAAATCACTTTTCGGCATCATTATTTTGCCTGGAAGACATTTAAAAATAAGCTCGTTTCGTCTGCGTTGAAAACGTCATCCAGGCTATAGTTTCGTATTTTTTGGTAAGCTTTTCAATTACATCGTGCTATTCTCCTCTTGCACTTCTGCATTCTCACCATAGATTTTTATTGAAAACTATTCCGTGCATTTATCCAACCACCTTCTGCTTGCTTTAAATTCGATGTTATCCCAACAACTTGTTCAAATTGTTTAGTCGTTTTTCTAATAAATTCTCTATCTGAAACAACAAATAAGATCCCAATAAAATGAAAATTAACAACAATATATAAGAAAACCTAACACAAGGTTGAGAATGAATGTTATGTATTATGTATCTAACAGATTGAAAGTTAGAGAAAACAGAGCTCTTAAAATTGATCTTGAAGAAAATAAACAATAAAATGGCCATAATATCAAGGCAGCCCAGGGATACGGAACATTGAACAAAATACATATTGGACTCCTATATCAAATTAAACTATTATATTAAAGTTAAGGAATTAAATAAAAAACAAAGAAATGAATATAGGTAGCCGAAAACTTTTTTAGATTTCAGTAGAAAAATGTTTCTGAAAAAAAATAATAAATTCTATACTCATTTATTTATCTACGATATATATTTAAAATTAGTTTGTAAATAGTTTTCAAATACATATTTTTAATTTATCTGCATTGTATGGGGTCATTCATATTTGATGTCATTACTGGAGCGGAGATATGTAAGATACCTTATTTTTGGACTACATTAAGAAAATGTACCTATGGTATCTTGATTGGACTTTTTTTTTATCAAAGGATTTATTGTGTGCTGAACGTTTTATTATATTGTCTAATAAAAGCAAACATTAAATGGATGATATGATACAAACTTTAGAATTATCATATTCCATTTAAATTATTTCTATTTTCTATTTTATTATTTATGCTGAATCGTTTTGCATCTGTATTAGTAGTTTTGAATCACATGTAACAGATATAGAAGCATTAATTAGTATATATGGATGCACTTCATTTTTTGTCCTAGCCTATGTCTTTTAAATTAAGATTCGTGTTCAAATTCAATGCAGTCCCCATAAACTATCGTAAATTACACAGGAAAGTCCATCACTTTGCATTCTTCATTCACGCTGACCTTTCTATTGACAGTCACTTCGCTCGCAATGTATATAATTATGATTCAATGTAGTCTTAATGTATTGACGTTTCGTCTTAACTGATCAAGCAATCGAGCTACTGCATTGTGCTTTTTTTTCTAATAAAGTAATAAGTTATAGATGAGGCTTTTATTTCAGCATCAGTTTGTTCGGCTGTTTTATATTTCGTCGAAAACTATCGTAATTTTTTAAAAATATTTCTTATTTTTGTCACAATTCTTGTATTTTTTCAGACAGATTACTGTCTTCTGTTACTAGTCTATATTAGTAATTTTAATTCATTAGTAGTTTTAATTCATTCATAAAATGAATCAAAATATATTTTTAATATATTCATGTATTTGCATTATTATTGATATTTGAACCAAGAAATGATTACATGCTTAAGATATATCTAATTGAATATGAGATCATCTATGAAAACAGGATTAATGCTATGACTAGATTAATGGCTAGCGATAATCCATTAGCCTATAAGTAAAATGATCAACAAAGTCAATCTTATCAAAAGTGCCTTGCATCACTTTCATTCCAAAATACTGAAGATAAATTAATCTTATTAATGTAGTTACATAGGAAAGTCGTGTATGGAAAATTGTATGGGACATTTTTGTCGACTTTAAAAATCATGTTTCAGGTCATTTATAACTTTTTAATTCATGAGCAGAGGTAACGTAAAAGTTTCAATGACAAAGTTATAGAGCACCATTTAATTAGTCTAAAACCATTTTCTGGATTCAAATAAACACATTTAGGACTACATAATTTACAACTTTAAATTTATGCGGTCCTAAATTTATTTGAATTCCAGAAAATGGTTTTAGATTAATTAAATGGTGTTCTTTAACTTTATCATTGGAACTTTTACGTTACCTCTGCTCATTAAAAAGTTACAACATAAGTCACTATCACTTGATTTTGTCAAAATTGTTCTCCCAATGTTATAAAACTCCTTATGAAATAACGTTCTTTAACTTATATAAAATAGAAAATAATTTGTTCAGAATTTAAAATTGAAGATATATCTTAATATATTCAACTTTATAAATTAATAGCATATTATTTAAATTTTGTGATGTTAAGATCTCGGTTAGATATTTAAAAATTAATTCATAAAATCGTATAAAATATCGAAATGGTTTAAATAAATCTTATATATCTTATCGTTTTCGTTTGAATAAATTATCTAATTTGATATTCTTCTCGTGATTTCAAGGTACAAGTTAGTTAGTTATCTCATCAGAATATTTAAGCGTTGATCCGGCTAATTAACTCTAGTCTCAAGCCAGTATAAATTAATTTTGTAAGTTTAATCTAGCCGTTCCAATCAATATCAAATCTTTATTCAGCTCCAAAAATGAATCTGAGATGTAGACAAATAGTTTCAAATACAATATTCTTAACTACATGTTTGACAAATTTCTACTCAACTTCATCTGCAGGTGACTTTAACTGTCAAGGTTAATGAAACGGGATAAAGCCAAGTGAACTAAATTAATCTTTAATAAGATAGTTTTAATATAAAATGTTTGTTTTAATTTGTAATTAGTGTTCAATAAAATATAAATGCATTTCTAATAATTATTTTACAATAATTTTCTATTTAATTTCGTCGTTCTAATGTGCAAGTTGGAAAAGCAAATATTTTAAATTATTACAGAGACAACAATAATAAAAATAATAACTTTGGTTAAGTTTTTTCGTTTTTAGTGATAAATTTAATACATATCTCACAAGTTCATTCAATGTTATTATAGTTGTTGGGCAATGCCTGCTGACCCTTACGAATGGACTCTCAATATACCTAACATGTTGAGTTTGGTGGTAAGTAACTTACAACAACATACAGATAAATTTCTACTTTCTATTATAATCAATAATCGATTTTTACTTCTATCTTATAACATAAAAATTCAATTATCTTATAGTTGAACTTTGCTTTTTTGTGTCGAATTATTCAAGTCTTAGTAACAAAACTGAGAGCCGTTCACGCCAACGAGCCAAGTCAATATAGGTATTATATTTATTTAATGAGTCGAAAATAAATATTTTTGCCTGTTAAAAGTTTTAATAAATTAAAATTATTTTAAAGAAAAGCCGTCAGAGCAACATTAGTGTTGGTGCCGCTATTTGGTCTGCATTTCTTTCTAGTTATTTATCGACCACAGTCTGGTGGGTGTGAAATGCTCGATGCTTACACCTTTTTTACTTACACACTGGACGGATTACAGGTTTGGATAATTAATTAAAAAAAGCATTTATTTTGTAAATTTATATATTTATTAATTTATTAAATGTTAAGTAAATTGATTTACGTATAAAAGCTTTCGTATTCCGTATCATTGATTGTTTGGATCAATTGTAAACGCAGAACTCATTTATACGCACGTGTTATACAGAGTAAATTGTAAAAGTTTCTTGCAATGTCTGGCTCTCTTTCTATTTATAACTTTAAAGAAACCAATAATAATATTTTGTTAGAATTGAAATGAGAATACGTGAAATACATTTCTTTCTTTCATAACGAAGAACATACGAAGTCGAATATGTTTCCATATTTATATTGTTATTATAGACACATTTACACTTGCAAATATCAAAAGTGAAAAATCTGTAAGCATGAAAATATTACTGATTTTTACTTAAATTTATATATTTTTTAACATCTTTGTCACTCGTTTATTCAAAGAAATAAATCACCACTAAACAATATCCGATAGATCCAAGTAAATCCACTTGAAATGTTGTCGCCTATAAATATTCAAAGCAGGTTGAAATACCCGCATATTTCTCAAACAGAAATAGATAAATATATATATTTTACTTTAAAAATATGTTAAATTTCAGAATCTATTTTTAAAAAAAAAATCATATAAATTAATTTATTAAAGGTTTAATATTTTATATATTAATTGACTTTTCTTTGAATACTTCTAAATAAATCTTCCGCTCAAATTTAAATAGAAATTTAAAAGCTTATAAATTAAATCTTATTAAGCTACGCTTTTATTTTATAAAGAAATATAACTTTTTGAATTTTAATATACTTTAATTTATATTAAGCATATTAAATGAAAATATTGATTTAAAAAATAAAAAAAATATTTAGAACTATAATATATTTTAAAACATGTTTTTATTTCTTAAATGAAATAAATATTATCCTAGAATCAATGAGATAAACGAATTTATAATGATAAAAACTTCTGAATTTTTCATTAAACTTATAATTTTTCAATCAAAATTTATTAAAATAAAAATTACTTGACATCATCTTGATATATTTGAAAAAATAATTACAACTGTACATTAATATTGCCTTCGAATTATCTTTCTTTAAAAAAAAAAATAATTATTTCTATCTCTTAACATTTAATTGTCTTAAAATGTAATCTCTAAAAAATACATTACATAAAATTTATTTTAATGAAATTCTACGTATAAAAATAGTATTACAATATCTTATATTTAAAACCAGAACTCATTTAATATTTTATTTTGTAGGGTTTTCTCGTTGCACTTATATTTTGTTATCTAAATGGTGAAGTAAGTATTGATTTACTTATACATTTGCTTTATTAACATTAACTATAAGTTTAAAAATAGTAAATTAAGTAGTTTACAGGAACTTTTATAAATTAAAGAAGTAAAAATCATAAATTTTGTCTTTTTAGTTCAAAATATTTTGAGTAAAATAATTTTTTTAAATGATAAAATAAATATGGAATGTATTAGCATCCCTCTCAGTTGGTCTTGTCATTCGCAGATACAAATGTTGATCTGGAGGTCGATAGAGAGATACAGATTGCAACAGAAATTACCATCCTCAGATTGGAAGCAATCTAATCGTTCGTATCATCGACCGAAAAGTGGTTCCAGCTGAGAGGGGTTCATTCTTCCATTTTTTAAAACATGTACGTTTAATATAATATTCAAATACGAGAATCTTTTAATAAAATCTTAATATTTTAATTATTAATTTATTATCCACTTATTTTTTCATTAAAAACTTTTTCTGTTATTAAATAGTATAATTAATATGAAATATTTTGTTTATATAAAAATAATCAAATGTTTTAAAATTTTTTTTCAGATTATATCGTTACTTAAACGTTCCTATAAAAGGTATCAATTAAGGCAGATCTCAACACAGAAATCAAGTGTTAAAATTAGGTTAAATCGTTTATCACTTTGTACAGAAATGTCTAATATGTTCGAAAACAAAGTTGCGAACAATGGGAATTCCAAGTAATGAAAGAACATTCCAAATATTGCGTGAAGAAAAGACATTTTCTAAATTTCAACTTTAATTTGTAAAAACTGTGTTTATTATTGTCATGGGAAATCTTACTAATCTGTTTACATTGTGTTTACAAATAAAAGCTACTTTTAATTTCATGTTAGTATTTTTATTTGAAAACTTACACGATTTCAATTTTTTTTAATGTTAATAAAAACGAGCAATTATTTATTGTGACATCGTCACAATACCGGACTACAATTTTTCGTCACAATGCTCGCAATTTTAGTGGTGTTTTGTTCATACTTTTCCTGTTAACAATGGAGTCACGCCGACCATCTATCTAACTTCGTTCAAGAGAAAATTTGAATTGAAATAACGTGACTTCGAATCTAAACTGAAAGTTCATATATAGTTAATAGGGCCTTCTGCTCCTAAAATTTTCATATCTGGACTCCATTTTTGTTTATCTCATTCCCTTCTCGAGATTAAGTAAGGACAGACAGACGGACGCCAGAGGGAATTTATGGGAATGCAACTTTTGAAAATTGCAGCCCAATGATTCTGTTTTCATTTCTGACATTACAGTATCTATCTGTAATGAGTGAATTTTTATTATTTTACTGGTTGATAAATCATATTTTATTAATATTGTTTCGTCTAATGTAATCAAATTAAAAATATATTTCTACAATAGTAAATTTTTAATAATAAACTTGACTTTAAATAATTTTGAGGAACAAATTTGATAGTTTTAATAATTTATATTATTTTACAAAGTTATTTAAAAGTTATATATTATGAATATTAAAATATTTTGATCATCAACTTTTAAATTGAACAATAATTTATTCATGTTTTATTTATTTATTTCATATGGAAAAAATTTACTCGCGAATTTTATACTTTAGTCCATCAATAAGTTTGATGTATCTGTATTTACGTTAAAGAAGACAATACCTTATTTTATTCAGGTTTAAATTGCTTGAATTTTTTATTTACTTATATCAGATTTTGTAAATAGTTCAAAACATTGTTGCTATAGTTCGAATAAAAGCAGGAACGAAAAATCGAATATTTCAATCACGTTACTTTTCTTATAAATTTAACAAAAGTTTATTGAGGAAACAGTAAAAGTTTCTGTATTAAATCACATATTTCTGAAATATAACCATTTTAAATATATATATATAT